ATGTTTATGTTTATGTTTATGTTGTGGAATACTTATATCTGTATCACCTTGACACTGTCCACTTTTCATATCTTGTGATATCCTTCCGGACGTCAGCATCAAGTTGACCTATTTCCGTGTATCAGGATGGGGCAGGTTATGATTGGTTGTTCATTCTCACACGATGTTAGATGACAGAATGCTGTATATGAGGCCTCTCGAGACACAGTGAACAGAGTTCAACAGTAGTGTGGAGTGACAGAGAGAAGCAGAGGCACAGAGACAGGCCAGGTTCTCTGTGTTTCCTGTTGTTGCAATAAAACTCAGCTGATCATCTCACGGAGTACCTTCATTCTTGGACCAGCGTATTTCTGTCTCTGTTGTTAAATAAATATTGCCATAACAACTTCTGTTTAATAACATGGACAACTTGTAGTGGTGCTGAAAACCAACAGCTGCAGGAAAATAACTACTGACATAAAATATAGACAAAGATCTCAGAATCTCTCTGTGTTCTGAACATAGCATGGGTTTAGCACGCTATGTTGTACATAGGAGCAGCAACGCGCTCCTGTCACAGCAGTCTCTCAGGAGGGGAGTTTAGTCACTCACACAAAGTTGGACAGATCTGTTCAATAACAACATTCTGAACATATATTTAATATAAAGTTAGATTTTACAGACCAAAGTCTCTGGTAGTTCAGGAGCAAAGTGTAGGAGGAGATGTCAAGACTAACCGCAGCAGCCGCTTCTCCAGTTGCTGCTTCAACCTGCACTTTGGCCAAGTCCCAATGCTCAGTGCACACCCCATGCCCCTCTGTGAAGTGTGGATTCAGTCGAAGTGCACATCGTGTTTGAGTGCGCAGGATACAAGTATTCAAAAAAATTGAGAATTGGGACAGTATGGATGTCATCAACTTGTGCCTCTACTTCATAACTGCGACATCCAACATGGTGGGACCAGTCACTTGTTTTGGCATTTGTGTTGCTAAAAATGATAGTACAACTACAAAAAGCAATCGTTTTTATGAGAAGAACGTGCATAAAGCGAAGGAGGCTTATGCATCAGAGTATGAGAGTGAACTTCTATGTTCTTCTTCTTTTAGTTTTACTGGTGGTTGGCAGACTAATTGAAGTGCATTACTGCCACCACTAAGCTGGAAGGTGCTCAGTGGACATTGCCAGATTTCTGCCTTGTAATTCAAAACGTCACACACAAAAATGAATTTTGGGTAATAAACTTCACCAAAGTCCGTAAGGATGCAGACTTTGCGTAAGGGCAGAAATAGTACCCAAAATTGGGGGGGGGCGAAGGGTGGATGTGGAGAATGTTGGACACACTACACACTACACACTTCAACATGAATGCACATTCGAAGTGCACAAGGGCGGAACGAGGGTAGGAGTGAGAGTATTGGGACAGGGCCTTTGCCTCTGCTGAAAACTGCTCTCACTGAAAGTCCCGCCCTGCTCTGCTCTGATTGGATAAAACAGCTCTGGACTTGGTCTGATTTGTTGAAGGCAGTGACCTTTTAATCCTTATATCAGGGTCCCACTGTCCTTAGACGTTTTGTGAGCACCGAACAACGATCCAGTCACACCTGTGCGGCTGGATTTTTTTTTAAGAAATCAGGTCGCATTGGCGACCAAACTGTTTGCACTCTAGAGCCCTGCTAGCTGTTGTTTTGACAGACAATCTCAGGTACAATCTTAGGCATGCAAGTGAGCTTTATGACATTCTACCTGGTGCACTTTTTTTTTTTTGATCATGCATGCGCACCTGCGCACCACTTATGTGCCACCCTGTCAATAACCCTCTGTCTGTAACCTTGCCCTGGTTACTAAAAGTAGTGGTTGATCAGATGATCTCAGAGGTCGCAGTGGTGTGTAGGGTGTAAGTAATTCAGAAATGTAAGATGGTGAATTCAATGATTTAAAAACTAACAATATAATCTTGAAATCAATCCTGAATACCACAGATAGCAATAACTGAACAACCACCAACATCAGAGTTTTTTCTAATATCATTCACTGCCCTCAGTGATGCAGTTTGAATGGTGCCTACAGAAACCAGATAAAGTTTAGTTTGTAGAAAAAGATCTCACTCTGACTGACGATGATGATTCTGGCCACCAGGAGGACACAAACTATCCCCAAACACAACATCACCACACAGAAGTGTGAGTGTGCTGCTGCTTCACCATCTGATTGGAAAAAAAAAAATATGGTAAATGGACTGTACTTATTTAGCATCTTTCTATCATCCAGGACACTCAAAGCTCTTCACACTACAATCTGTGTCCTCGTTTACCCATTCACACAGCACTCTGAAGTTATAAATAAATAAATCAAAGTTCATTCATTTTATTAATTAAACTGGACACAATGATAAAACCATTAATAAATTAATAATAAACCCAAATCTGAGAACAGCAGAAAGCTTAAAGTAAATAATGTGTTGAAATAAATGTGTAAACTTTCTATCCAAACAGAATAAAGCAACAGAACTTACTTGGTAAATCAGCAGCAGCAGGTTCTGTAGATTTTACTGCAGGTTGAGTTTTTGGCTTCTTCTCATCTGAAAGAAAAGAAAAGTCTTTAGTTGAATGAAAGAAAAACACTTTGACTGATAGAAACTGATATTTGAGCTCCAACAAGCTGATTTAAAGTTGTCTGAATATAAAATGTTCTCCAGGAGTCTCTCACTGTTTTCAAATGAAGTATTTTCATAAATCACTGAAGAATCAACGTGTGCGTCCATCATGAAGAGCTGCAGCTGAACACTGATGCTGAAACTTTAAAGCTGGGAGTGAAGATCAGTTTATAAAGAATAAACAACTCAATCTTCTTCCCCTTATTATTACACAAGTTCATAAAAAATATGTAAAAGCAGAAAATCTTGTTTGGTTTCATATTAGAAGAGGAAACTGGATAACTACCTCTTTACATCTAAATATTTAAAACATTAATGCGTTCTAAGAAAATCCCCATAAAATTTAACTGTTTTTCATCTACATCCTCTAACAGTTTCATTTGATTTAAATAATAATAAATTCATAATAAATAAATTTAATAAAACAGTGATTTGTTCCTTNCTCTGACTGCAGTGAATAAGGAGATTTCTGTCTGATAAGACTTGATTTGTTATTTTTTAATATATATTTTGTTTTTCTTGTGTCTGTAGATAAATTGTAACAGCTCAGGTGGAGACACCAGAGGCTGTCTGTCATCTGCCTTTTATTTAACTTATTTTTAATACATGACTGCATTTGTTAAACTATAGCTCCTATAAATGAATGTGTTTAATTCAGTGAATTAAAAACATGTGACTGAATCATGTGATTAAAGGAAACTATCCTATCAGTCAGTTACAGTAGGTGGATCTCCTGACAGTCAGAAAGAAAGTTTCATGTTGTGAAGTTTAAAGTTTGGATTGTGACGTCATCATAATAAAAACTTACTTTTGTTTGGACAGAAGTCTTTGACTGGAAAAGTGTCAAAGGTCAGGATGAAATCCAGAGTTCTGTTCAGCTGGTCAGTCTCATTCATCAACTTTGTGTTTTCATCAGTCAGGTTCTGAATTTTGTTCTCAAGGTTTCTGATTGTTGCTTTCTGGTCCTTTGTTACCATGGAGACTGTAAATGACAAAGATGTTCAATAAAAATCAAATTAATAATAGAAAATGTTTGAATTTATTGTCTTTTCAGTTGTTTCATTTGCAACATTTTATTTTAAACTTTATTTAAAACTTGAGTTGAAAGCAACACGAGTTTTGTTGATTCAGAAACTCTGCTGTGATCAAATCTTATTTATGATGAAAAGAAACACAGATGATCAACAGGATGATGATATCTGCTGCAAGTGTCCCCAGTTGTTTTATTTCAGTTACTTTTATTTACCAGTTTGTTTGTTTGTTTATTACTTTAAACGAGGAAATGATTGTATCAGAGTTTGCCTCAGCTCCAACCAGACCTGAGTTTACTTTAAACTTCCACAGGAGAGGAGATCCTGTTCAGATCAGCTGGATCTTTAGAGACAGTCTAACCCCCTGATGAGTCTCAGGACTGGTACCTGCTCAGGCTTACAGGCAGATCCTGGTTTCCCAGGGTCCAGTGAGATCTACAGTCATCTAACAGTCAGCCACAGGTGGACAGTGTCAGCAGAAGAAGAAGATTGCTGGAGAGTTCAGGTCTAGTTTTACACACAGAACTCTGGTTGGCTTTCTAGTCTAGTTCTTGTTTTGTTTCCTCAGATATGAATAAAAAGATGAACAAWGACAGGAACAGATAAAAACAGAACTCGAGTGAAGCCACTTCTCCCTGGATAAAAGCTTCAGTGTTTATTTCACTAAACTGTCTGAGTTTTTCTCTCAGTGTTAACCTGAGATAAACACTGGAGACACCTCCATGATAAACACTTTTAACACTTCAATGGTTAGAATGACATCTGCACTGCASTTCAGATATAACTAAACAATAAAATCATTCATTTCATAAATGTTTATGTTTTTATTACACATCTTAAGGATAATATGTGACATATTCATGATGAACTGCTGAACGACAATCAATCTTATAGAAGACATTTTGTCAAGAGCTATTTTTAAAATAATATTTAAAAAAAGTTCAGTTCTGGAACACAACCTCAGGGTTCAGAGGTCATCTCAGAACACACTTATCTAAACTGTAAAAAATGTCAGATTGTAGAAACTGACAAACTCTGTGTTCCTAAAATAACTTGATAAAGTTTAGTTTGTAGAAAAAGATCTCACTCTGACTGACGATGATGATTCTGGCCACCAGGAGGACACAAAATATCCCCAAACACAACATCACCACACAGAAGTGTGAGTGAGCTGCTGCTTCACCATCTGATTGGAAAAGAAACAAACATTTAGTGACAGAAARACTGCATTTTCTTTGATTTAAGTTCAAATGCTACAAAATGTATTTTCTGAAGTAAAACAATAAATAAATCAAACTGCATTTAGTTTAATAATTAAACTGGACACAATGATAAAACTGTTAATAAATTAATAATAATCCCAAATCTGAGAACAGCAGAAAGTTTAAAGTAAATAATGTGTTGAAATAAATGTGTKAACTTTCTATCCAAACAGAATAAAGCAACAGAACTTACTTGGTAAATCAGCAGCAGCAGGTTCTGTAGATTTTACTGCAGGTTGAATTTTTGGCTTCTTCTCCTCTGAAAGAAAACAAAAGTCTTTAGTTTAATGAAAGAAAAACACTTTGACTGATAGAAACTGGAATTTTAGCTACAACAAGCTGATATAAAGTTGTCTGAATATAAA